GGATAAGCAGGTACCTTTACAGGTGCTCCTGCACCAGACTCATCTGACCACTATGCTGCCGGTGTAGAAAATCGACTCTTGGAAGTTCAAGCAGGTCTCTGCCTTCTAGAGGGCTCCAGCCAGAGACAGACTAGGAGGAAATGTAAAAGGCACACTCAAACAGAAATGTTGATTTTTCCTGTTTTAAAAAGAGCAGTAGGATTTTGTGTTCCACATGAAAGAGACAAGGTTTTCCCACTGTAGTCTCTAAAAATGGATAGAGGACTCAATTTGCCCACAATTTGGAAGATAAAGAAATTCCTTAAGTCGGATACAGTAGTTCATAGAAACATTTATGGGGTTTTCTAAAGCTTCCATATGCAGTCCTGCACAACTGGATTCTTTTAATTTTTATTTTTATTATTTTTGAGATGGAGTTTTGCTCTTGTTGCCCACACTAGAGTGCAATGGCGCGATCTCGGCTCACCACAACCTCCGCCTCCTGGGTTCAAGTGATTCTCCTGCCTCAGCCTTCCGAGTAGCTGGGATTACAAGCATGCGCCACTACGCCTGGCTAATTTTGTATTTTTAGTAGAAATGGGGTTTCTCCATGTTGGTTAGGCTGGTCTTGAACTCCCAACCTCAGGTGATCCACCCGCCTCAGCCTCCCAAAATGCTGGGATTACAGGTGTGAGCCACCGCACCTGGCAACAACTGGATTCTTGAGAAAATTTTCACGCCAGTTGCTTGAAAGAAAGGATTCTTCCCTGCCCCCAGGCTAACTAAGCTACTAACAAAACTGGCTTGAGACTAACAAACGCTAGGAGATTAAGCACAGGTTTGAATTTTATCTCTGCATATCTCCGGAGTCTGTCAATTTGGGTATCTCAAAAAGACTCGACATCTCTCAGCAGAGTCTTCTGAAGCACATCCACAGGGAAGATACAAGAAGCTTTTGATGTTTTACTTTTATCATGAATTCCATTGACCCTGGAAACTTGTGATTCTGGTGTAAGATAGGAGGGGAGAGGGAATAGTCCTGGCTATTTAATTATCTCAGTAGGTGCTGATATTCCCACATATCAGCAAGGAGTATTCCAAAGAATGATGACATCAGATCACTGAGCATCTTCTGAGACATTTTGTTCTTTATTACTTCTCTCCCCTCCTTGTCACTGTTACCAAACACAGCAATGGTACTCGTTGAACTAGGCACCACTCCCTACTGTTGGCCTGGGCTTTTAGCATAAGATCTCTTCTCATTGAGATGGTGAAAAATAAAATGAGATAATAGAGACAGAAAATGCTTTGAAAGAAGAACACTTTGCATATGAAAGAGTTGGAAATTTTGTTTATGATAGCTCAGATGAATCCTGCCTTGTCTCATTGCAGCAGCCTGTTATAATATTTCATTGTTGGAACTAAAATTGCCTCATAATAGACAAGTGTCATAGGACTTGGATCAGTAGATAAACACTACAGGGAAGCCTATTTCAAATCAAAATGGTGAAGTGCTTTTCAACATTTAGAGAGCTTTTGAACATTTGGAGCCATTCCAAAAAGAAGTGAGTGCCTGAAAAGCACTGTGTAAGTTGAAACAGAGCTATAGGACCAGCTAGCAGGGATGCTGTAGAAAAGTTTCTTGCACTGGACCAGACAACATCTATCATTCTATCCCAGTAAGGATCTGGGAATTCACTACCACAATGACTTTTACTGCTGCTTTTAAATAGGTAAAAGGTGGTAATGTAGAAGAGGAAGTGTTTTCTTTCAAAGCATCCAACTAAGCCCAGTTGATGGAAAGTATAGGAAGACGAACTTTGGCACAATGCGAAACAATATTCACAATATTCATGGCATTTAGAAATGCCATATAATTAATTTTTTCAAAATCAGGTAGATGTGAGAATAATCTGACCAAAGCTAATCCACCAGTGTTAGACCTCAAACTCTAGATTCTTCATACTGTTCTGAGTTCCATGTCTCACATTCCCCTTCCAATCTAAGGCCACACTCACTTGGCAAATAGTCTTTTAAAAATTAGAGGAAAGCCATACATTAGTGACCATTTGCTGACAATCCTTGTCCGATCCTGCTCGCTTGTAACTGCTTCCTTTCTCAGACTCTCTCTCAGGAGGAAAACTGAGTTATTATGCGTGAGCTCATCTCAGGCCTCCAGAAACTAGACTGAATGGAATAAAAACCCTTAACGAGGAATTTTTTCTTTGTCGTGGGTGCTTTACATGTCTACTACCATCTAGGATGCCCTCTCCAACTTGATCCTATAGCAAAATCTTTTTCAGTCTCTGTCTCTTCTGCACTTAGAATTTTTTCTGCCTGACTTCACCCTTCTGAGAATCACCAGCAGCATCACTGTGGGATCAGACAGTAACATTCTTGATGACCCTATAGATAAATCCAATGAGCAATGACTACTGTGCGCATTACTTAATTGTGTACACTCAGAGTGATGACTATGTTTTACTCATCCTCATATTCTTAGCATTTTGTTTGGTGCCTAAGTTCTTAGGAACTTCTCAGTATAGGTTTATTTGGTTGAAAATATGGATATGTTTTGCTTTATTTTAGAGCTGAGGTTAGTTACAAATGGATTCTAGGACAGTCTCAAATGCAACAAAACATGAGTATCTTTAAAATCGTAGATATCATTAAAAATCTCCCAAGATGCCATTTTGGAATACTATGGAAAAGGAGCACAGAGTAAGGAAACTCTTATCTCAAGGTCTTTGTACTTCCTCTTCTGACTGCAGTTCCACATGGTTCTCTCCCTCACTTCATGAAGGTCATATAAAAATGTTAAGTTGTTAATGAGTTCTTGCCGAACTATCTTATATAAAATAAAATCTCCATCCCCATCCCCAGCACTCCCTACTCACCTTACTCTGCTTTATTTTTCTCCATAGCGCTTATCGCCATTTGACATACCTTGTGTCTACTTGCTCATTTGTTCACTGTGTGTCTTCCCTCTCATTGGGCAGAAAGAGACTTTGTGGATTCACTCATTGCTTTTTCCTCAGGTCTAGAAGAGTGCCTGGCACATAGTAAGGAGCAAGGAAGGGCTCAACAAACATTTACTCAACAATTGAGTAGTGAATAAGAGAATTGTTGAAACTAAAAAACACAGAGTTGCCCAATAAAAATTCAATAACATGATTGAAAAATATGTCAAAGAAGTCTCTTGGAACAAAGAACAAAAGTTTGCAATACAAAATGTGAAATTATACAAGCTGAGACATAGAAGATTAATCCAGGATAGCCAACATTCCCTTCATGAAGTTTCCAAAAAAGAGAGAAAATAATAGGGAAAAATATTAGAAGAAAATTTGTGCGAGCTGAAGAAAATCACCAATCTTAAAACTGAAGTTTCAGCCAAGGATAAGAGAAAATACAAAAAGCTTTTAGAGAAAAGTTAGAAAGTCACCTACAAAAGAATGAGAATAATTAGATTGGCATCAGCCTTTACATTAGCAGCACTGGATGCTAAGGGGTAAAACAGTTATATCTTTAAATTTTTGAAGAAAAATAATTTTGAACCTAAAATTCTGTACTTAAACCATCAATCTAGTAGAATAAAATGCAAACATTTTAAGACCCACAGTGAATATGAAAGTTTACCTTCCATAAGGTCTAAATAAGATGATGTTGTTTAACAAAATGAAAATAGAAACAAAGAAAGAAAAGAAAATGAAATCCAGGTAACAGTGAACCTTATCCCAGAGACAGATATATAAGAGGTATTAAAAGAAGTCATCCAAATTAGAACAGCAAATTGTCTATTGTCTTTAAAAGAAGGTAGATTATCCCATAGCAAATACTTATTAAAAAGTCAGATGACAGGTGAGGCCATAAACTGCTTCAATTAACAAGAAGAAAGAAAAGCTATTAGAAACACCAGGGAAAACAAAAAACTATGAAAGAAAGTAATATGAAAAAAACTAGAATGTGGTCTGATTTTAACCAATTCATAATGTACAAGAAGGAGAGTCCACTTGACCTTAAAACTTGGAGTATTTTTTATCAGTACACAAGTTTAGTGACACATATTTATACCTTTTTCTGTAAAGTCTAGTCATACAAGTTGGTTCTGTGGTGAATAATCTTAATATGAAAACATAATTATCTTAAATGAGATTTTAATTTTTAGAATCAACCTACAGTCAAAGTATGAATGGCTTAACTTTGGTTACAAAATGAAATGTAAATATAATGATGATATTAGTAGGTGGAGATGTATGGAAAAAGGTGCAAAGAGCCGGGCGCGGTGGCTCACGCCTGTAATCCCAGCACTTTGAGGGGCTGAGACAGGCAGATCACGAGGTCAGGAGATCGAGACCATCCTAGCTAACACGGGGAAACCTCGTCTCTACTAACAATACAAAAAAAAAAAAAGAAAGAAAAGAAAAAAAGAAAAATTAGCTGGGCGTGGTGGCAGGCGCCTGTAGTCCCAGCTACTCAGGAGGCTGAGGCAGGAGAATGACGTGAACCTGGGAGGCGGAGCTTGCAGTGAGCCGAGATCGCGTCACTGCACTCCAGCCTGGGCGACAGAGCGAGACTCCGTCTCAAAAAAAAAAAAAAAAAAAAAAAGTAGAAAGAAATATGGGGGTGCTAATTTCTACATTTTACATGACATGAGATCAGATAAATTATCTAAAGATGATAAATCAAGAAATAAAAGTTAAAGTATATTATTTAAAGTTATAATAATAGCTAAAAGAAAACTAAAATTTAAAAAAATAACTTAAAGATTTGGAAATTGAAGGGATTGGGTGTAGAGTAATTGAGCCACATTTTATGTCTTGTACTGATGGTTCATTGATATGATTTAAAGTAATTATATCAAAAAGTATATATAAGTATATATTTCAAGAGGTGGAAATACATAAAATATGTAAATAACTACCAAATAATAAAAACAGAAATGGTTTAAGTGGTTACCTTTTGACCAACTGTAGTATGGGAAAGTTAACTTGCACATTTTCGTAATATTCTGTTCTTTTTTTAATTAAATAAATTTTTATACTTTTTTTTTTAAATCTGCTTTTTAAAGGAAGAGATTATTTGTATTGGAAACTGCTGACCCATAGCCACTTCTCCTATGACACTTGCTATGTTGGGATGAGATAAATCAGACCACAACATTTTTTTTCATGAAAACCTGGCTTTCTTTTTCTGAGATGGTTTACAAAGAGGCTACGAGGACCTTTGGAAATATTGTAGAATTTGGAATCAAAAGAAACAGGATAATTGCAGAAAAATCTTTTAATAAATTTTTGTGACTCAGTTTTCCTACCCTTCAACGGGCTTCTTGCCCATAGTTTTACTCCTTTGAGTCCCAAGGAGATGAGGCATTCAAATCCTAAGCTATAGGAAACCCCGCCAGTGGTCGTTTTCAGTCGATAAGCCACGAGTTATGGACAAGAGCCGGGCAGTTTTTACACATTTCTGGCATGCAAATAAATGTGCCAAATGTTTAAATTACTCTGTGTGATTTCTAAGTCAGCAGCTTCAATGCTCCCTGTGGTAGAATCAAATTTCTGCATGAAGATCTGAGGAAATTGCTGACTTACTGAACACTCTGCAGCCAGACACCCACACAACTCACAGCACACCTTGAAAACACCGAGGTGGCAGGGTGGAGGATGGGGAGCCTTCTTTGCAGAGGCCTACAGAGCCAGCCTCATCCTCCACACACGACTGTCCTCTATTCTAGACAAGGGCACCCCGGTTCCTCTACCCCTGCACTGATGGTATTTCCATGGGTTATATTGGGTTGGGGAAGGGGGTAGATAAGAAATATACAGAAAATGGAAAACAAAACTGATTTGTGCAAATCGTCATCTGCGAAGCCTGCATTCCTGGTTGCCTGCATTTATAATATTAAGTGGGGGGGAAATTACAAATAAGGCAGTCAATGAGTTAGTATGAATCGGATCTTTGTTCTTTGGCAAACCCTGCCTGGAAAGCTGAGTGCAGGCTTCTCATTGACTTGCAGCATCAGTTTTACAGAAATGGCTTTAAAATGTGCCCAAGGTCCATTCTCCTCCTGCCAGGCCAGAAAGATTAAGAAAGATGACCACACAGCTGGACACCCTGTGGTCAGTTCTTATGAAACGGGCAAACTCTGTGCAGTGCCTATACACCCCACCAAAATATGGGAAAGGAGCTGGGGAAATGGTCCCATGGACAGACCTGGGAACTGAGAAAGGGAGCCGAGAGAGAAATAATTCTCCTGGCTCTTTTCTATGCCACCCACAGCCATGGGCTAGATACACTCTCTGAATGCCAAACTTGTGCTTCCCAGGCACCCTGCTGCCAAAATATAGCTGGAGAAAGCAGCCAGAGGATCCCACAGTCCAGGCAAGCACAAGAGCTTAACTGGAGACAAGACTGTGGGGTTGAAAGGGAGGGAGATGAACCCTATCAGATGTGTGGTGATTCCTTTCTACGTTCAAAGCACTTATGCTTTTAAATCATCTCTCCTCCAAGTAAATTTGTGGGACAAGCTGTATTTTCTCCACTTAATAAATGATGAAACTGAGGCTCAGATTCGATTTGGATCATAGTCAGTTTGCATAGATAGCACCAGATTCTATTCCTTGGCCTTCTCGCTTCAGGGTCTTTCTCCTAGACCATATTACCAGTAGATGTCATTCTTTGACCAGCAGACAAATGCCAGACAGTAGAAATTCTAGCCACTTGGCTGAAAGTTCAGGTTCAGGGAGCATCTGCAAGAGATGGAGGGAATCAAGGCCAGTGTGCCCAGCTCCTTTGCTTCTGCCCCACCCAGAGCTGAGGACCTGGGCCTCATGTGCCCTCCCCACACGGTGCCTGCTTTCTCTTTTACAGAGATTCTGTGACCCCTCAGGGCTCCCAGATCCTCAATCCCACTGAGGCTTCGCCTCAGATAGGAGACTACCCGTTTTTCCTCCAGACTAAAATATTATTCCAATAGCTCTATTTTTATATTATTATTATGGTTTGTCTTTTGTTTTTTGTTACTTATCTCCTCTGGTCATGAGTCTGCTGCATACCCTAGACCAGGTGGGTTCAAATTTCCCCTATTCTAATTTTAATTTCCACATGATCAGAATAAACATGGCTGCCTCGAGATCTCATTTTCCAATGCTGCCGGAAATGAAAATTCCACATAGCCTAGTGGACCTTCCCTCCTCCTCTCACTGGACAGCTTGCTGTTTAGAGGCTCCTGCCATTCTTAGCACGGCAGCTGTCACAGCAGTTAGCCATGGAAAGACCCATTCGCTCATTTGATCCCATCTCCCTGCCAGGACAGGATATAGGCCTTGAAAGTGCTTCCTGGTCTAAAGACTGAGTCGGGGTTTATTTATCCTAGGTTACAGCAAACATTACTTCAAAAAACAGGAAAGACAGTCTCATCTTGTTGATTATGATACCAGTTATAGCAATGAGGTGGAGGCGTTGTGGAAGCAGAGCTTGCATTTCCATACAAGGCTACCTTGGAACCTCATCTGTTGTCAGGGAGCTGAAGTGTGTCGCTGTGACAACCCTCATAGGACCTTGGGAGTACTGGCCACTCCCGCTCTCACATCCCTTAGGGCTATGAGAAATAAAAATAATTATATCAGCTTGTGACATTCTTAGATTGGTCCTAATTTATGAAGCTCCTTATGGGCAAATTAATTGTCCCATTTGCCTTTCATTGGGATCAGCACTAAGATACACTCAATAAAATGTTTAATTAAGACTGATGGAATGCTAGAACTTACTCCTTCTAACTGCATTTTTGTAAGGAAATTATATCTAACAATAATTTATTGTATAGTTCAAAATGCCTACAAGAGAAGAATTATAATGTTTCCAACACAAAGAAAAGGTAAATGCTTGAGGTGATGGATATCTCGATTACCCTGATTTGATCATTACACATTGTATGCATGTATCAAATTATCACATGTACCCCAAAATCTGAACAACAATTACATAGCGATAAAAAGCAGAAACAAACAAAAAAGACAGATTGAAAAAGAGCCAGTTGATCAGGAAGGAAGGGAAAGAGAATGCACAAAGGATTCCTGGCTCATTTGTATGAAGCAAGCTAAGTTGAATAATGTCTCACCTTAAATTCAAGAAGTATTTCCCTGCTAATAGCTGCACTGTTAATAATACTAAGAGCTAACACTTATTAGACCCTTACTACTTGTCAGGCACTGAGCTAAATATTCAACATACATCATAACATTTAACAACGCTTAAGGGAAGTAGTGATATCATTTCTATTTTGCTGAAAGAAAAAAATGAGGGTACAAGAGGTTAAACAATTTGCCCAATGTGACATACAGGTAAAGATACAGGTAAAGGGCAACCTGAATTCAAACTGGAATTAATCTGACTCTTGAGCCTGTATTCTTGACCACATGCCATACTGCCTTTCTGCTCTTGGTTTATTTTTGGAGAACCAGTGCTGTCAGAGAAGAAAAGTGAGAGGTAATATTATTGCTGTTATTCATCGCATAATTTTAACTCTGCCCTTATTTCTGAGAGGTAGTTATTTTCCTTTTCCACCCTCCCTGGTCCTCAATCGACTCCCACTTTGTCTCCATGGCTCCCCTCGCCCACTTGATCTCTTTAGCCTCTTTCCCATCAGAACATTAAGTGATGGTTGAACTAAGAAGCGTCATGACCAATGACCTTGGATAACTCCACTTTCTTTCAACCCCTGCCTCAAACAGGGATTAGGGAAGAAAATAATCTCTGGGATGCTACCTTCCATGAATCAGGGTCTAGCACCAACTAATATTTGGGTACAATTCATCCAGTATCTTCACTCTCGTTGTCATCTTTGATGTGTGGGACAACCATATGAATTAGGCCAGTCAGATAATACTACTTTACAGATAATGCAACTGAAGCTCAGAAAGCAGGTGCAGTTGAGAGTTGAGCCAGATCCGGTTTCAAATCCCAACTGTTTTCTACAAAATAATGGCAGCCTTTTCTGAGAATGAGAAGCTGCCCCATTCATGCCACCCTAAAGAGATGGTTTACTTTACCTGGGACTTCGAGCTGCACCCTTGTGGCACAGATGTCATTCGTGGAGGTTAAGTGTTCTTGGCGGGCAGAGGTTTCCATGAGAGCTCGTTTATGTTGGCTACAAGACTGTTCTTCTCCTAGCATGTAAACCACATTATTTTGGTTTTCTTTCGTTGTTTGTCTTGCTTTAAACATTGTCTTGATAGAAAGGGAAATACAAGATCTTAGGTGTCAATGTCAAGTTTATCAACAAGTCTACACAGAAATATGCATCTATAAATCCAGGCTATAAAGAGCAATAACAAATGAGTCAAAACACCTGGACTCCAGCCCAGATCTCAGTGAATTTTATGAAGCTTTGAGAGAGCCACTTACATTCTCCAAGCCTCAGTTTCCATAAAGGAAACAATGGTGGGCTAGAGGATCCCTACAGAGTAGCACTTTCCCAGTATTGAAAACCCATGGATTGTAGGATCCTTAGCCCTGCTGACTGTTATCTGAGCGGGGGAAGCATATTTGTTTTAAGCAGCTGGGACTGTAGAAGACATGGGTGCTTCCTTCCTGGGATGGTCAGTCAACAAGATGCATGTAAGATTTCCAAGGAGAGAAGGCAAGCCATGGGGTTGAGTGGGAGCAAACTGGTCTGCTGGGAAGGAGCAGAAATACTGACCACCTCAAGTCCTGAACACCCAGTGGAGGTCGTGCCTTTCCATGGGTGGTCTCCGAATTCCGGGCACGCTTTTTCTTCCTGTTTCCAAATAGCTTAGCAAGCTTAATCCATCCACACAACATGTAATAAGCTCTTCTGTGTTCCAGATATTTGATAAGAACTGAAAATAAAAGATAAAGTAAGATTCTGTTCTTAAAGAGCTTATCCGAGGAACAAGTAACAAGAAATGATGTGAATTTTTAGCAGAAATTTGCAAAACACCAGATGAGAAAAATACGATACGTGTGTTCTATGTGGATTGGCAGGGTACATTATTTTATACCAACTCATGACGTTCTTTACCCATCTGATGCATGGGAAATCCTAGTTCCCCAACTACATAAGGAGCTCCTTGAGGGCAGGATCAAGACTCATGTTTATTTGTTCAGCGATACCTCACCCAGTATTAAGCACATCAAAAGCTGTTCACTAATCTGGACGAGTGCTTCCCCAATCTGGACGTGAGGTAGAATCCCGCTCCCTGCCCTGTTGAAATTGGGAGTGGTCCTAGGAGGTGGTCCCAGGATGAAATCCGAACAGGGTCACTTGGCAGAAAATTAGAGGACCACTGAAGAGTTTCGGCCTTTCTGTTTTTCTCTCTGGCACGTGTCAGGTGACAGCTGCTTATCAACTTGGGCCCGGAGTAACTCTGATACCATGGAACAAAACCCCCTGCTAGCCTAGTGTTGGTGCAGCTGAGTAAGATGTGTTGCTTCAAGTCACTGAGGTTTGGCTCTTGTTACCACAGTGTAACCTAGTCCAGTCTGTCTGGTGCAGAAGTGTTCCACAAATAGTTGCTGATCTCTGTACCGATGCCTCGATTATAGCAGATAGGTAAGGAAGTAAATAAAGTAAGTTGGCAGCAGCCCTAGGAGAAGGCTACCTCCACTGAAAAAATACTTCCCCAGCTCTTTCTAATATGCCGTTGTTCATATTTCTAGCAAAGCACCACAAAAGGCCATTGACATTCCATCTCTGTCAGCATTTCTTCTACTCTGAGGCTGCTTTGTGGCTGCTCAGACTCAGATTTAAGTTTGCTGTGAACCTTAGCAGTGAATGTCTCTATCTTTGCCTCAAGACTTTTGTAGTCAGAAGAGACAATGCAATAAGCAGTCCTGGAAAATGGTGGACAATTGGGGAAGAGTTAAGATGAGAGACTGTCTGAAAAAGCGTGTGAAGATTGGAAAGGAAAAGTTCCGCCGAGACAGAGCTTCCCAGGGATTGCAGTCAAAAACCACTAGGAAATTGAGATAGATGTTGATGCCTTTAGGAGCTTGGCCTCTGGCATCAGCCAAACCTGACCTTGAATCCCAGCTATTCACTCACCTACTGAGTGACTGAGCAAGTTACTGAACTTTTCTATCCAATTCAGTTTCCTCATCTGTCAAACATAGGGCCATTGACAACATAGGAAAGTAATTTTCCTTAATAATAAGGACGCATTTTTATAGTATGTGCTTTTAAAAGGAGCCTTAAATAAAGAGAAGTGAGATCATTTTCCAGCGCACTTAGCACAGTAACGACAACATAGAAAGTGTTCAAAAAATGACAGCTTAAGAAAGCAAAAGATGTGGAAACATTCACTGAAGGGCTGCAGAACATAAAAGAGGGTCTGCCTGGGCTCAGCTTCCAGGAAACTCTCAAACTCTTGCCCAGAGCATCGTGATATAGCCCTTGGAACCTCACGCAGGCGATGATGATCCTTTTACCAGATATCAGAACCTAACGAACCTTCAGCCACTTAAAAGTGCGCTCTGGAAAGTATTCAACAAGGGCTTGAGAAACCAAGGAGACCCTGATGGAGGAGATGTCAAATCACGTGAGAGCCTTGTTCTGTCTAAGCTAATTTCCCGCACTTTCCAGAGAGATGGAAGTGATTGGTCTTCGGTCTGCTCAGCTGACTTTGAACATTGGCCACAGGACTTGGGACAGGCAGGGAGAAGGTGGAAGTCTATTGTCTCCACCTGGGACAGCCTCAGGGTCCTTTTGTTCCAGCTGGAAGTAGCCCCAGAAATAGCAGTAAAGGAAAAACATGTGCTTTGAGGTTCCCCATCTCCCTTTTCTGTGCCCTCTCCCTTACCAGGGGATTTTTCCTGCGCCCGGGCACCCCATGTTTCCTGAAGTTCTGCTCCAGAGACAATTATTCCCTCCAGCGGAGTAGAGAAAACAAGAGACTTGGAATTAAAAGACATATATCCAAATCTGAACGCGTTCACATGCCAGTCCTTATCTGATTGCACCAGAGCCTCAGTTTCCTGGACATAGCAATAACCACCCCATAGTAGGTAATTATTTTATTATAGTAGTTAACAGACTTGGGTTTGATTTGAACATCAGAGACAAGAAAAATTGATTTCTGCTCTTGTAGATGAAGCAAAACTTTTTTAACCAGGTAAAATTCCTTAACTAGCTCACTCCATTCATTCCTCCAGCCATCCATTCACTCAATAAACATGTATTCTGAGCCTACTGTTGTGTTAAGTAGCACTAAGTGACGAGAGCTGAAAGAGAATTCAGACCTTGGGAAGGAGGCTGACAGAGAAACAGATGGTAAAGCAGGAGAGTGGCTGCGGTGTTGAAAGCAGCAGCCCAGCAGATGAGGAAGGGAAGCACAGTGCACCTAGAGAGCTCAGGAAGGGCATCCTGAGTGAGGAAATGCCTGCTCTGGGCGTGAAATGACGGCTTAGAGTGTAATAGGTAAAAAAGGCAGAGGGAAAAGAAGGCAAGGATGAGGCCGGGCGCGGTGGCTCATGCCTGTAATCCCAACAGGTTGGGAGGCTGAGGCAGGCAGATGACTGAGGTCAAGAGTTAGAGACCAGCCTGGCCAAGGTGGTGAAACCCTCTCTCTACTAAAAATAAAAAAATTAGCTGGGCGTGGTGGCGTGTGCCTATAATACCAGCTACTCAGGAGGCTGAGGCAGGAGAACTGCTTGAACCTGGGAGTCGGAGGTTACAGTGAGCTGAGATTGCACCACTGCACTCCAGCCAGGTGACAGAGTGAGGCTCTGTCTCAAAAAAAAAAAAAAAAAAAAATTAAATAAATAAATAATAAAGGCGGGGATGAGCTGAGAGGAAAAAAGTTAATTCAGGCAAAGAGTTAATTCAGAAACTAGAGTAAGGAAAAACAGCATTTCTGTGTTGCTGGAACATCAGAAGGTGGAAAATGATGAAAAATATAGATTTTCCTAGCACCCAAGAAACTCTCATTTTAGAAGGAGAGCTCTAAAATCAACTCCTCCTCCCAGAACTACCTCTGCAATTATCTGACCCTCCAGAGATTCCCAGGTACGTTTAATTCATGCTGAAAACGCAAGGAAAAATAAAATGTGATCACCAAAATGTTCAAAGCTCCCTCCAAGTCTCTCTCCCATTTTCTGTCCCTTTTGTGAGCACCAACCCCGCAATGGTAGGAAGCATTTGTCTAAAAATAGCCCTTCTAAAAGACCCAATCTTTTCTGAGTTTCATAAAACATCTGCTGAACAGTTTCCTATAACTGTTTTTGGCCATTAAATCAAAGCTGGCAAAAACAATGTTCTGCTTCTGCCTTTAAAGTACAGAATCGCCATCAGGCCTTCCTCTCAGACCCAGACGACAATGGGGCCAGAAATAGCCACGGGAGGCTTTGAAACACCTAAAGGCCCGAGTCCAAGCACAGAGTTACTAGTGTCTTGTTTTTCTCTCTTTTAAAAGAGGCTGTTCATCCCCCAAGTACAGAAGAGAAACTTAGATAGGCCTAGCCTCCTGGGAGACGCTCTGCTCCCCCATGCAAATTACCACCTGCAGTGGTGGGGCGGTGTGGTTTGTGCAGCTCAGGGCTGGCAGAGAGCAGAGACCGGTAAAAGTCTCATCCTGCGTTGGCAGGGGCAGCCACACATGTGGAGTGAGTGTGGGGGTGGACTGGCATCTGGCTGTATGGTTGCGCCTTCTCTATGCTGTGTCTGTGCTGTTCACTGGGCTCCTATTTGCTCAGGTGGCACAGAACATGGGGGTGTGCAGCAACCTGAGCAAGTTCAGGGGAAAACTCACAGACACAAGGTCGAAAGATCTAGTAGGTTCTGTTTAGACTGTGCTTCCAACTAGCTAAGCGTCTTTGGCAAGACATTTTCTCTCCCTGACCCCGTCTGTGTGGCAGGCATCAGTGCGAGAACTGCTGGGCCTTGTATACGGCAGGAGGAAGCCAGGCCTTGGTACGATGCAGACAGAGGAACTCCTTGGGGCCAAGGCAGTCAGGCACTAAGAGCAGCTCAGTGCTGGAGGTCGGCTGAGGGACATGCAAGTCAATGGCAGTGCTAGAGCTGAGACCCCTGTCCGTGTGTACAAGACCCAATCAGGGGCTGAGGACACATGAAACTGGATCCAGCCCCTGGGAGAAAACAGGCTTTAGAATGCCTGGTTAATCTAGGATAAGACTTCAGTCTGTACAGTGAACCTGAGGATTAGGTCAAAAACATCAAGGCAACCTCTTGATGCCAAGGAGTAAGAGGCCAGCACGACAGGTGAGGGCCTGTCGTGGCTGAGAGATTCCAGAGCACAGGGAGTGTATCTGTGGTGCTTGTCTGTAGGTCTCACATGGCACATGCTTTGGGTCCCAAGACTTCATACTGTCTTAAAACGGGTGACTGGAACAAAGTCACCAAACATTCAATGCCATTGCCAGAGCTGGCTCAGAATAGAGATGAACCCACCTGTAAGCAAGGTGTAAGCAGATGGGGATGAGAGCAGCTAGGAGTGCAAGGCTGGAAGAGGGCTGGATGTGATGCACTGTGACCCTCCTCCCAAGTCAGCTCTCCAGGCTTCTGTGCACTCTCTCCCAATTTGTACAGAATGGTCCTCACAGGCTTTGGTAGAAACTGGTTTCCATGTTCCATGTCCGTCATAATTTGTGATAGACTCATAAAACAATGGAGGATGGTCCCTGTAATCTGTGAATACAGTTAGGTGGATACCAGGTCTATAATTGCAAGAGCAAAATGAGGAGTGGGAGTGAACACGTCCTTGTCATTGTGGGTTTTCCCTGAACATAGCCAGGTAATGGTCATGACAGGGGAGATGCTGACTCATTTTCTCTTTTTCTTTCCTATCTCCTTCTCTCCCTCTGTCTTTGCCTTTCATCCCTCCAT